AGTGTCTAAAAAGACATTGCTTTCAGGCAAGGAGCCATTGAAAGGACTTCAACAGTCTGAGAGTCATTTTTCCAGCCAAGGAGCTGAATATACTGTAGCCACTCTTCAACTGTTTCTAGGATTGTAATACCTTATAGCAATGCCTTCCCCCAAGTGTGACAAACATTTTCAGACAGGAATCCCAGGTGGTTTGTTTTTTTTTCTTCTTCCCCTTTAAGGGTGAAATATTTTAAAAACTGATAATTCTCAGAAAGAGATTACACATGAAAAATGTATGTAGAAGGCAAAAGCCAACGTCGCTTACTGAGCGCGCTCCTAAGCCTGTAGCTGCCCAAACAAACAGAAATGAGATATAAGTTTTGTTTATTTACATTTTCAAGACACAAGTTTGCACAAAATATCTGTGTCCACACATGTATCTGAAGCGGTTCGGTCTGGATTATGGAACAAACGCTTGAGACACCTCAGGTCACCTAAAAATAGGAGAATTTAAGTACCTAAGCTGGTCCATGACCCGAAATTAGATTGCGGTCCAATGACAGCATAGGTCTTTCTGTTTGATGGTGGTTTGACTTTACACACACTTAGGATAAAAAACAAAATTTAGAAAGAAATATCTTTGCTGCATGTCTTTGTACATAACGGCTTTGAAGCTGAACTCCCACACAGTATAAGCACAATAAGCAGCATTTCATCATGAAGGATTTTAAAGCATAGCAGCTATCAGGAATGGTAAAAAAAAAAAATCAACAAGTTGTGGTGCTTTCAGTCTGGCAGGAGACTGAAGGGGGGACAGGACTTATTACAATATTATTAGATTCTGCCACTCACAGCTGGCTACGAGAGACAGCTGTAATAACGCCTCTTTCATGGGTGTCACATGCAAAAACATCTCTGTAGAGAATTCTACCCAAAGCGACGTACCAGCAAAATCCATTACCGCTGTTTAGCTGTGTTTCTGAACAGATTGATCCACTTGTCTCATGTTTAAGTACCTACACACCTTGAAGCTATCCGGGGACTTGACTACGCCTACAGCTCTTAAGCTTGACCTCCGTTGCTTGGCTTACTTGCCGCAGCAGCCAAGGCATCTCCCGAATGGCGTACTTGACTGGACAGACCAACTGACACCTACTAACCCACTCGTGTTATTAACCGCTTTGCTGTGCTCCCCTAACACCCCCAGAATGAACTGTACCATCATTCGCTTTCCACACGGCTCGTACATCTCCTAAGCTTTTCAGCATACTGATTAACTGACTTGTAATTCCCAGAGCTTTCCAAGTTCCCTTGAACAAGAGGTTTCTGCTCCCTAGAAACAGACTGCAATTACATACTGATTTGGGGATCTAGAAGGTTCCTTTGTTTAAAAATCCAGCTGTGGCTGTACCCAGTGAAACAATTAATTCTCCAACTGAACGCAGAGGGTTTTAAAACCAGTTTTAAATGCAAGGCTATTGCTGCCTTTATTAAAAGACTACAATAGCATTTTGAAGGATAAATATCAATCAGAAGAGACTTGCATAAGTCAAAGAGGTTCATTAAGGTCCTTCCATTTTGTTTAGGCTCTTTAGAAGCATTTGCTCATTATGAAATTAGTGATTCTGGCTGCCAAATGACTTGCTGAAGGTTGTGATGCTGAATTTCAGCCCAGTTGGCATGTAAGCAGCGCGCATGCAAATTGCAACAGCAATTTGTGTGATATGGAAGTCTGCCTGGCAGCGAACTGCAAGAATGAGTAGGGATCTGAAAAGAAAATCTGTCCCAGGGAAAAGCAAGTGGGATCTAAGTAGAACACACAGTGTGATTATTTAGAAGCATTTTAGAAACTTGTAACAAAATTTTTTAAGAGAACAAGAGAGAAAATACAGTATCCAGTTACAATGAACCAGAACTTGATAGTGATGGTAAGGAGGGAAGTATGGCTTAGGAGGAGGAGAAGGTTTTTTTGTTTTTAATAGGAGGGTTTGTGCCCAAGGGAGTCTGAGAGACCGTCACTTGTGCAATACCTATGGGTGAACCTTGCCAGCTACTTCCAGGGGTAATGCAGGACTTGACACCGCTAACTCAAATTCATAAAGTGATATTTCTTGATCTCTACTTTGCAGGGAAATTTTCTTTAATAAATTTGGTAGGTTCCTGGGTTTCTTTCTCCCTAACGACAGCAACACGACCGCAGAGTTTCTAGGTGGCTGCAAATCTGTTAGCCCATCACTGAGCCTCCCGGCTCCTCCCGGTGACCGAGCAGCACTGCCGGCACTGGGCTTCAGGAGCCGTGCTCCCTACAGGGACCTCATTAAAGCAGCGCCACACAAGGTCAGAGTTTGACCTTTTTTCTTCTGTTGTCATTAAAACCTTCTGCTTCTACCTGGATCGGTACGGTAGGCCACAGGAAAGAACTGAAAACCTATCCGAGACTAACCCCCCGCTTTTTTTTTTTTTTTTTTTTTCTTTAACCAACAGGTCAGCTGAACTCTGTTAAAGCAGTGTAAGGCCATGATGATACTGAAAAATGGCTGAACCCTGTCTAAAACACTTTGGAGGTCATTACTACTGAGGAATTACTTCGGTCCTAGACACATGGCATGAAATGTTAAAATAACTCCAGTAGAGACAAAGCTGTAGGTTTACGTATCTACAGCAGGCTAGAGATTAAGCAAACAATACAGAAGATGCAACAATACCAGAAGTTTCCCAGTACCTTTAGGAAGATTAAATTTCAATTGCAGGTGGCAGATGAGATGCAAAGACCTGTACTTTATTTACTGAGCAATTTCAAAACCAGACCTTGGAACAGGTGCTTATATTTGCTTGCGATACAGACTTAACAGCCAGACAACTACCCTGAGAACGCTCTGGCCATCTCACCACGTTATGTGTAACTGCTCATCTGTATTTTTACCTCCAGCTGATGAACTTGCCTCAGGGTGCCATGGAGAATGGGAACGTTGTGTATGAATTTTGACATGTAAGAAGGAAGACGAAAGTAAAACATTTCCATTCATAACAGCCTTCAGACACCCTGGTTCTCCTGGTGGTTTTAACACTTGGATTTTCATCCTTCTGGGGATGAGAGGGAGGAGGAAAAGGAGGAAGAGATTGAATTCACCTTGACTTTTCTTTGGCTTCAGCTGCCAAATATGCATAGAGTCATTATCCGAAAAGAAAAATTTGTTTGTGCTTCCATTGAGACTTGAGCAATGATATGACTTGAGGGGCAAAAGCACTGTCATGATGCATCACTACCCTGGAGGCATTAAAGTATCTCTAGACAGCTGCTCAGCCAGAAAAGCTACTCAGATTGCTGAAGTCCTTTCAATGAGCTGAGCCCAAGGCAATATTTTAGTAGGAAACTTTAAAAATTAAAAGGAGTTATTTTTGCATCATTTGACTTGGATTGTTGTAAACGTGTTCCACCATAGGTCACCTGTGTTGCCAGAAAAATAATGAATTTGCAACTGATTCTATTTAGATTAATTCCTTAAAAATACAGGCAGCTTTATTGCATAATTCCTTACACAGACACAGGATAGTCTGTACTACACCTTCAAAAACCTGTGAGATTGCAAGGGTTAGTTCTATCCTGGTACAGACAGGTCGTATGCAACCTGCACAGACTTCCACAAGCATCTCAACATCAACCAAAAAAAAGTGACTCCTTACTTAGTCAAGGATTATCACCTAGCTAAAATGACACAAAATTGGCAAGGGGAACTTCTATTCATTTATTTATCCTTGCCATATCAAATTCAGTCTACTCTTTGTGAGCCAGCTGGAAAGATGACCTAAAACTGCAGTGATGTTTAAGACCAGGAGAAAGTTGCTATCTCTTGCTCATGCCGCAGTGTAAGAGCTCACGGATGGTAAAGCCGCTTGATTTTTTTTCCTTTGACCATTGCTGTGATAGACGCAGCAAGTATTAGCAAGGAGATCTAGGAGCAACACGTCATGAGACATGCTGTTCCAGACTGAGAAGCTAGATGGAAAGAGGAAGGGAGCAGAACCTCCCTGGTGACGGTAGAGCTGCTGCTTGCACCCACGCCTTTTCCAAAATAAGTTTTTACATTCACCCAGCATAAAAGGGAACGCAAAAAAGTGGTTCTTGCCCCTCTGTATCAGAAAATGCTGTAACAAGCCCACAGTGTGGATTCTTACATCACAAGCAAAATTATTTTTCAGTTTTTCTAATCTTACTGTGGCAAATGCTGAACCTATAAACTGAAACACGCCCAGCCCGCACCAGTGCACCACTTTCTGCTATTTAATAGAAGTGTCTTTACATTGTCTTGTAGAACTGTCTCTCATTTCACATGATCCTCTAAAGCAGTCCTTTTGCAGTCCCTTTCTGCATATCTGGATGAACATGACATTATAGATACAGTCTCACCAGGAGCACATAACAACAGTAACGTTTTCTTACCTTAACAAGAAACTTCGCCTCTGATACACTCTAGAATCACATTTAATTTTTTTTTCATCCACCATAGGATGGTCAGTGATCATTCTATAACGTGCTGTATATTTTGTTTGTCAGCAGGGAAAGTAGTTGGGCTAGATAGATTATCATTGAAAGATTCAATAAGAACACTATAACATAAGACTTAATGGCCATATTCTGCTGAAATTGCCAGGAAGTGTTACGAGTATTAGAAAGGTAGAGAGAAATTAGTTACAGGTTTTAGGTAGAAAACCTAACAGAAGTCTACCTTGAGAAAAAAAGGAAAGAAAATCGACCTTGGAGAGACTGCAGAAGAAAAAAAAGCTCAAAAATTGAATTGTATGGCACTCATTTTGCCACAAATAGGGCAAAGAAATCTTTTCTCTTTTTTGAAATGGAAAACTTTTTCAGCGATAGCAGCAGACTATCTTGTAGATTCTTAGCTATTTTAATCAGGCTTCTTTTAGCACCTGCTGAAATCTCTCAGAGCTCTGGATTGGCTTAAACACATATGAAAGGGCCCTGTGGCATGTATTCCTTGACAACAATCTGTTCTCCTCACCTCATAGAGTGTAATGATGCCATTTGTCTCATTTGGAGGCTTCCACTGAACATAGATCTTCTCTTCAAAAGGTCCTCCCTGGATGGATTCCAGAGGAACAGGTCCAGGAACTACAAGGAAGAAAAAAAAAAAGAAAAAAAAAAAAAAAAAAAAAAAAGAAAAAGAAAAAAAAAAAAGAACAAAAAAGAACAAAAAAGTGTGTTAGAAGCTACCACCAGCTCTAGCTGCACACACATCAGAAGACACCAAGAGGCCACCACACAGGAAGTTGAGATGAAGAAATAAAAACAGTATCATTAAAAAAACCCCAAACCTCAAGGCACCACCAGTACCAAGGCACTATCAATGCGAAAGACCTACTCTCAACACTTGGTTCAAATAAGAATACCCTAATCTAACCACTAAGTGATAAATGAAATCAGAATCCATGAAGATATGAAGCTAATTTCAGTTCATCTTTACTCCAATACAGCATAGCAGCAGCAGGGAATTTAATTTGTCTTTCTCTGCCCACACAACAGCAAAGCTCTATCCACCTAAACAGCCGGATTGCACCCTGGCATAAAGATGCTGCACACCTTTATCAATGTGAAAGATTGATTTCCTTAGTAAAGTAACAATGTAAGATTTATATTTCATTATGGCTACAAGGCCAGATAAAAAATCCACCTACTCAAGCAAAATTTTAATGCTGTGGAAGATAACAAACTAAATGCACTCCCAAACCTGTCTGATAAAAACCCTGTTCATTTTTCTGAAAGCTCTGCCATCCTCTTACGTCCCCCGTATGATATACTGGACTGCAAGAGCCACTTCCAGCTGACAGAAACTCAGGACAGCAACTCCTCACAGCTCTGGCAGAGGAAGAGCTTCTTTTTTAACACATAGACAGAATTGGAGGCTTGTGGTCTATGAGAGTCCTTGGTCTGAAATAGCTCAGATGGGATAACAACACTTTAAAGCTTTCCATGAGTACCTCCGGAAAACAGTCCTTCTGTATCAAGAACAGAAGAGTTAGCCCCAAATGAATTTAGCTTCTGTCCAGAAGAGCAGTATTAAGAAATAACACACTCTGGAAAGGAAGACTATACTTGTTTTAGGAACAGTGATGTGAAGGCACAAGAAAAATCAACAAATGCCAGGATTACATTTGCCCGTATGATAAAGGCAGCTGCTCTGTGGGTCCTGGGTAGTTCAGAACATAACTTCTATAGAATTAAACCTACTGCTGTTTGGTAACTGCTCAGACTGGCGTTTGTCATTTCCAAGCACTTCAGGGATCCTTGCCCTTTCAAGATGACAGCTATGAAATGGAAATTATTTATACCTACAAATTTTACTTGCAGAACACACACACACTGTCCAGAGAAGCCATTTGTAAGTCTCATGGGACAGAGGGTTATGTTATTTACAGCCTGAAAGTATTAGTCTTCTCCCAAAAAACCCAAGCAAGCCAGTAAACCCAACATAACTTACCATCTTCCTCAGTCTGCACAACCAGCTCCTCACTTTCTATTTTGCCCTCTGGGTTAGAGAGGGCTAACCTCAGCCTGATGGTCATGAAGGGCCGAAGACCTCGCAAAGTGTAGTGGGAAGAAGTTTGGATGAGTTCTTCTGCCTCAAATTTTTGCTGGTTAAACACATACTGGTACTGTACTGTGAGATTGTAGCTGTGGCAGCGGGTCACCGCATAACCAAAGGGTTCCCACTGCAACGTCAGCTGCCGGGAGCGAATATCAACGACTTCTACATTTTGTGGTCCATGGACGGGATCTGTGAAGTGAGCAAATAAAAAAAAAAAACAACAAAATTTGACATTAAAAGAAGTCAGTCACTATTAGTGTGCTTCCTTCCGTATTGCCAGAGTAGCTAAGTATTTTACAGTTCTGAATGTTCTTGTCTTTACAATGTATAAGTGACAGGGAAATGATCTACAGATGCATTCTGTTCCTGAGTTTTCCCTGAAAATCCCCTGTCACAGGGTCCTGAACAGTGGTCATGCTCCTGATTCCTGTGAAACCTCACTGAATCCAACAAGGGCAGCATGATTTCATCAGTTAAGTAGTGCGAAAGTCGCACTTTTTTCATTCTTACCAAAAAAACCCCACCAAAAAGGTAGTTGGTGGTCTACTTGAAAGTATCTTGGTAAGTCCAGCCCTAAGTGAAGCAAGTACATAGGAAATGGCTGCCAGAGAAGGAATGACCTCAAGTCTTGGCTTTCAATTTAGCTATGGAGCCCCTACACCTTCCTGCCAATGCTAAACCCATTCTGCTCAGAGACTGAAGAGTGTAAGAATCAAGATTAAGAGACTGACTGTTACACTTCCAGCATCCCAGTGCTACTGCCCACTCAGTTTTTTAAACTCTCAAATGTTTCGGCAATGGGGCATATGAACAGATCATGCCACTCCTTGAGTAAGTTTTCTGAGTCATCTCAACCTTGTGCCAACCAAACTTTTATTTCAGATCATATCAACATCTCAGCCCCACCAAAGTTTCATTGCTCTTTATTATTCTTTCCGCAGTATCTGAGGTACAGTTTGAATATTCATGTGTAGGAATCATTTTCACCTGCTGTTCCTTAATTTATTTTTAACAGCATAACTCAAATGCTCTGACTACAGACTCTGCCCTTTATATAAAATATAAATGCATGCACCACTAGACATGCAGATATAAAGAATGAAGGATGAGTGAGTAAAGTCAGTGTTTGAGATATGTCAGATGGTAATAATACTACACATGTCACAGTTTGTTTATCTGACATTTCTTCAACCTGTGTGGCTCGTTTGCTTTTTTGCTCAATATTATCTAAGCAAGGTAATTACAACATACATAATTTCACAGAAAGTTTCTCAATTTATAGCACAATTTAGTGTTCCTCCCACTTCTCGTGTTCTCTCACGATTTCAACCTATGAAAGGAACAGAACATTTTCATGGGAACAAAGTCACAAGGACTCCCGAATACTAGTTACACTTCTTTGCAAGATGATTAAAGTGGAGGAAAAGCCTTTTAGTAATTCTTCAAAATAACGCATGCACCAGCCATATTGACTTCCATCTACTAATGCATAAGCAGAAAATACACTGTAACAACCAGCATATTCTATATTACTTCTAAAAAACCCTGGTGACTGGCAATGTGAAAATAGATACTTCTGAAATGAACACTATTCTGATTCTTGATATAGACACACACACAGGCAGCCACTTTTGAAATAGGGTGGATATCAAAGGACCAGGGTCTAAAGCTAGCAACTGGTTTAGGATTCCCTAAGTCATGTCAGTCCCTTTACATCCAGAAAACACCTTTTAAATGACATTCTTTAGTACTGTGTGTGTCAATAAAAAATTTAATTTAGAAATTAGAAAGTTTGTATGCATAAATATACACATATATACTCAGCATTAGGTGATAATCATTCCTTTTTGATAAATCCATTTCCGCAGATGAATTGTATAGACAAATAAGCTGAACAAAAGAATGGTTCTGCGAAATCTTTCAGCCTCAAACTCTAAAGGTAAGCACAAGACTCATTCCAAGATGCATTGAAAGGCAAGACGATCAAAAGCAGACGCAAATGCTTGTCCTTCTGAACTCTCCACTACACCAAGTAATCAACTCCAGACCCCAACCCAGAATGTGGCTGAGACATGGCAAAAACATTTCATGTCAAGACAAGGATGCAGCTGAAGATGGCAATTAACCTCCACGTTAATGTTATACCGGTTTTTTAAAATTACAGTTATTTTCTTCAAGTCAGTCATGTTATGGAATGAATGGGTAATTAGAGGGTGTTTGGTTTACTGATGCCGGATGTACTGACTTTATCTGTGGGTAAGGAACAACTCTGATTCAGCATCATCTCACCAACTCATGTGTCCAAAACCTGGCCTGTGGAAGATTACCTGCAGATTTTAGCTTGCTTTCTCATCTTGTTCACATTTGCCCTTTCCTTTCTTAACCAAAACTTTAACTCTTGGAAGCTGCCTTGTATCAACTAGTTTCTAATTCTACTCAAAATTTTACTTTAAATGCTCTAAAATACATGCTGGGACGTTTTGGTTTTGCAACACGATCTTTTCAATAGAGTAACCAGCCTATTAAGTAGATGACTTTGAGTTACAAAACAAAAAGCTAAAATACAGATTACAAAGCCCAGACCCCGCTACGCAATCACAGAACATATGACATTCTCCGAGAACTATCTGTTCTCAGGCTGATAATCCTAAAATGTGAGATTTTTCAGTCCAGTGAAAATAGGAGATCATGATGCTGTATAGTTCGTAGTGAAAGCAGGAAGGGGATGCAGGTTTCAGAAATACCCATAGCCTGAGGAGTCTCTGACTGCAGAGCTTGACATCTAATAGACTTCTAGATTCTTGAGCAAAGGTGGAATAAAAAAGTATAAACTATTTAAACTTTAGGTTCAGAAAGGAAGAAACCCAACTGTCACTAAATCAACAAATAGAAGCTGGACCTAGAAAGCTTTATATTCTGTCTGTCTCCCTTCTCTCTGTTTCAATCTCTTCTTTCTGAAAACGGAGACGATGTAATTTTGAAAATGTTTTCCTGTTGCCACACTGATTTCCTCTGCAGCATAAGCCATTGAAACTTATTTTCAAAGAGAAGATTTTGCACTGTTGTTTTTAAACAACAGTGGTCCTATTACTGTCTCCATTTAATTCCTCCCCCATTTTAGCTTTGTTAAGTATACGATCTCAAAACGTCTGTAGTACCTATCCCTGGGACTCTCTAACATCACCTGCTTTTCATAGTGTTGTAATGACTTATTTTCCCCCCAAAAAAACAAGAAAACTAAAAATGTTTAGAAGTTATCTATGATCCTTTATTAGTGGTGAATATTTAGAACTGGACAAACTTCTTCATTTCCGCATTCTTGGAATACCACAAGAAAAAACCTGAAAATTATTAACCTTGCACTTGGCTAGCGTAAGAAAAGCTGCTAATACGTAACTCTGCTTCAGCTGTACATAAACACCTACCAAAGCAAGACAGAAACAGACTGGCCCAATTTGAATACTTAAGAGGTCATATATAAAGAGACACTGCTGTAACCTGCATAAACTGAAGTGAAATTTTCTAAGTGTCCTCAGACACTTGGAAAAAACAAAGGAAATTCTTAAGAGGCAGGAGCAATGAAACAGTTACCACCGATCTATTCAAACTAGTCTTGAACCCATGCAAAGAAAATTGCAGTCTCTGGGATTTCACTGTGCAAATGCTGTGGTTTTTTATCAGCCTGGTTGAACTATTAATTACATTTTGAAAGTTCATATCAAAATCAAGGACTGAACAGTACTTTTTAATACTGCATCTCCTGCTGATGCTTTGATACCTGGTCATTACTCTGGCAGGCTGCTGCAAACACTCTGCAGGCCAGGAACCTTTCTGAAGCACTTGTGATGTACAAGTGGCCTGAACGAAAGAAACTCTCCCAGTCCTTAGTCCACGTAGGCAGACATTTTTGACTCAACAGTGATCTGCAACATTCAGAGACTGCATTTTCTGCTATCACAATTTTACAGAAAAGTTGACTTTTAAGGCTGGTTTTGTTCTTTCTTTATTAAGTGCTACAGATCTCATTTTGTTCACTGTAGTTCTCTTGCTCGAGGTGAGGTGTAGAAAAGCAAAGGTTGATTTAGATTATTAATAACAATTGTCTCTGCTTTATACCCCTCCATCAAGAGAAGCGGAGAGAGGAAAGGAAGCAATGGTGAAACGCTGGGGTTTGAACATGAAGCTCAAGTTGAGCAGTGTAGTTAAATAGAGACAATCAGCTGCAGCCCCCGGGTTAACTATGTGCTGCAGGAGCCTAACTGCAAGAAATTGTTGTTGTCAGTAAAATCATGACATTGAGCAGAAAATGTCCGTGCTCTGAGGCCCCATGCCCATGTCTCCTGACCCTATGGAGGGCAGGAGGCAGAGTTTATTAGCAGCGCCGGTGCCCACTGATGAAATGCTGTTTCCCAGCAGCAGGTCACAGAGACTGAGAATGCACAAGGGGAAGAAAAGTGAGCGAGACAGGCACAGCAGCTTTCTGTGAGTCCTGGACTGATGCCTTCTGACACAGAAAGAGAAGGGAAATAGGTGGGAGTCTGACTCCTGCCTTCCCCCCACACATCTACACCTGAGCTCATCAGCCAGTCACTCCAACCAGAGCAGGCCAACCAACATCTGGGCACCCCAGCAAGGTCCCCATCCCTTCCTCCTAGGCAGACTGGGAGGAGACAAGAAGACTTGCATTGCAAGGAGAAGGGTACATTTGTAGCTGATAGCAAGATCAAAACTTGTTCTCTGCCAACTACCAGCACGGTATGACCGCTCTCTTTGTAGCTCCGAAAATACTCACGTTACTTCGACTTACAAAACATAAATCTGGTAGTATGACAGAATGGTTGAGAACTTCACAGAATGTTTCACACTCACAATAAATTGAGACAGTTGCCACTTTTCACACAACAGCAACAAAACTCCTAATGATGGTGCATCAGCAGTTAGGATGTTTCCTTTGTGTTTTCAAAGACATCATTCTTGTTCTACAGATGGAAAACCAAACAGTAATCTGTCTAACAAAGATTTTACTCCAGGTATTAGACTAAAGCTGAAGCCTTCTCTATCTTGCCTTTATGCCCTACTCCTCCTCTTCCTCTGTAAATTTCCACAGGACTTAACAGCCAAGGGAAACACACCTACTACCAAAAAACACAGTGAGACAAACAGAGCAAAGGATTCAAGTGGTCTGCCTT